TAAAATACACCTTCTATAAAAATGTTAAAGTTTTAGTACCAAAAACAACGGAGTTTCGTGCCACTTTTGAAAAAGCCCTAGCTGTTTTTGATGAAAAATTTGTTGGTTAGTGCCTTTCTGAAGGTGTATGTATGTTAAACGAAGAGAAGAGAACTCGACTAAACAAAAATTTTGGGCGTTTAACGCCTTGCGGGCTCACTAGTAAAAAATTAATATTGTTAATACCCTGCTTTGCAAATAGCCTCTTAAAAAATCTAAATCATCTTTGCAATGTATGGAATAAAATTATTTTATCTACAACGCACTGATGCACATCACGCTATCCCTCTGGTACTGAGTCTCGTTGCGTGTTTGCTATAACACCTAGGACTTATAATTCCATTATGGCAGGCACCAGCGTAAGCAAAGAGTTGGTGGCGAAAGTTCCCCAGTGACGTTTCTCAAATCGTTTTATACGCTGAGCTAATTTAGTTTTGCCCATTCTTACTTGACGCATGTACTCGTCCGGCATTTGCCATCGCTGCTGGCGTCGCTTTGTTTGTTAAAGATTGTCTACTGATACATTTAGTTGAAAGGGTGGTTTTAAAGTGAAAGTTATAAAAAACAGAAAATCAGGTTTTTTTTGCATTTTTTGTTAGTTTTTTTTTATGAAAATGATAGTGTGACCTAGTAACGCTGATGCTTTGAACACTTCAGCTCTGGAAGAATGTTACACTTTTAATTTACGTGACTCAATTACAAAGGGATTTAGTTTTCAGATCGTTCTAGAGTATAAATTAGAAAAACGTACACCATGTCAACGTGTACAATTTTCTCACGCAAAGCGTACGCCCTCAGCTGGCATGTTTTGTTTTTTTTTCTATTGAATTGTTAAATTAATATTTTTTCAAGAATTAAAATTACAAAGCAGAAAATACATATGCAATTATATATTAATGAAAAATACTAGTATGGTATTTCAAATAATGTAAATATTCTTACTGTTCTACACAATTGCCAGTTGCAAATGAGAAAGCGTCATTTTGAAATGAGAATAGTTGATTGTGAATGCGAAAGCATCGTTTGGAATTGAGAAACTCATTTAAATTTCAGTATCTGTATGGATACTTATAATAAATGGATACTTATAATAAAAAATATGCAAGTTTATTATTTGCCAACGGGCATGCCTTGTAACGATAAAGCATTTACAAGTAAGGATGTTGCTTTTCCGTCATCCACCAGCTTTCCAAATATTGCAGCCCTTTCTCAACAACATTTGGCACGTTTACCAGTGGGTTTGAAAGATGTATTTGAAGGGGACATTTTTCCTTTACCCCAAATTATTTCAATGGGGTTTAGCATGGTAGAATATGGCGCTAAACTTAGCCCTTGTGCTCGTCCATTAGAATCATCAACCACAGCGTTCTCAATTCTGGAGTAACATGGAGCATTATCGCATACCACAACTGAGTCCTCCAGGTGGTTTCTCTGGTTTTCCCAACGATGCAATACTGTGGTTATCCATGCAGCACATGTTTCGGTTTTGAAGGAACCCCTCTGTTGATCGATTATCTGGCCTTAAACACATTATATAGTTATTGTCAGTGTCGAATAAATGATTTAAACATATTAAAGTAGGTCATTATGAACTACAAAGCAACCAGCCTTCAAAAGAGCATTCTTTTGGCGAAAATATGGTTTTTGTCATTGGTAAAGCTTTTTCGGAATTCGACCGAGATCGTTTTCATCTGGCCAGCAATGTTTTGTTGAATTCTTAACTAACTAACTTGCAAACAGCAACTATGAAGATCGTAACTTTCTGAAAACTTTAAAACTCTTTTTATAGCGGCCTCATTAAATAATTACATACACTGTGCGACAATTTTATGACAATTCAAACCAGAACGGACCTTGCTAATATTTTCTGAAAGTATACATATCCAGTAATAAAAAAGTAAGAAAGTCTAAGTTCGGGCGGAGCCGAACATTAAATACCCGGAATTGTTGCAAGCATCAATTTTGAATAAATTAGCTTTAATATTTAATGATTTATCGAAGATTTTGTATTTCTCTAAATTACCGTTATATGGGATGTGGGCGTGGTTATTGTCCGATTTTAAACATTTTCGGCCATTTGGTATGTTGTAGCAGGACCAACAAGTGTCAAGTTTGGAAGAAATTGGTGCAGCGGTTACCAAGATATACACATGTAACCATAAGTGGGCGTGGCTACGCCCATTTTCCAAAAATTTATAATATTCTAATTTTTCGTCGAAAAATTATTGTAAATATCAATTTTGAGTGAATTATCTTCAGTAGTTACTAAAATATCGCAGTTTTCGTATTTCTGGAATTTACCGTTATATGGGAAGTGGGCGTGGTTAAAGTCCGATTTCGCCCATTCTCAATACCAACCTACCTTGGATTAAGGGAAACCTACATACCAAATTTCGTTGAGATATCTCAATTTTTGCTCGAGTTATCGTGTACACGGACAGACGGACAGACGGACGGACAGACAGACATGGCTTAATCGATTTCTTTTTTCATCCTGATCATTTATGTATACATTTGTCTATATCTATCTCGATTCGTTTTGGCTGTTACAAACAACCGTTATGTGAACAAAATTAATATACCCTTGTGCACAAGTGCGCTCGGGTATAAAAACCTGATGGATTTGCAAAAGTTAGCTCGTATTTTTATTTTATGGCTTACTAAATTTTTCATGTCCCGGCCTAAGTAGTTTTCAAAAAAGTGGGAAAAATGGTTAAAATAAATGTCTAGGCAAAATTAAAGGTTAAGACATTCCCCATCAAAAAGCAAGTTTGAATGTTCGTTAGAGTATTTATACATTCTAGAAAATTGTTCTTCGGAAAATTTTACTAGGGATCTTCCCAGGCAAAACCTTCATGCTACCAACGTAAAAGTCTCTAAAAAACTTAAATAAAAAATTAACAAAATTTGTTTTTTTTTTTTAATTTTTTTAAAATTGTGTTTGGCTGTTATTCCTTCTTTGCATAAATTTTATGGTTTTAATTATATAGAAACTTTTTCGTTTGTGTCATGAAGTTTTTGCCGTAGAAGCCCCCTAATAAAATTTTCCGAAGAGTAATTTTCTTGGATATATCAATCCTCTAACGACGTACCAAACTTTCTTTTTGCGAGGATCCTTGCAGTATGGGTCAAAACGAGCCCATAAGACGGGAGCTAATATGTTAAAGTTTTCTACGAAAAGATTTCCCATGAAATTTTACTATAAACTTCTTAACCTTTAATTTCTTAATTTCACTCACACATTTATTTTAACAATTTTTCCACTTTTTTGAAAACTACTCAGACTGAGACATGACAACTTTAGTAGGCCACAGAATAAAAATGCGAGTTAACTTTCGCAAATCCATCGAGTGTTTTACTACTGGATGGGTATACTTTCAGAAAATGTTAACAAGTTCCGGGCTGGTTTCGGCTGTCGCACAGTGTTATTACCGAGTTAAGCGTCCTTAAATTAATTATTAAATATATGGTACAAAATGATTTTACTTTTATTTCCCATTTTCAAAAAACGCTTTCTCATTTTCAAAAACACTTACGCATTTTCATTCAACGCTTTCCCACTTGCAATTAACTATTCTCATTTCCAATTGACACATTCGCAATTAAAATTGTCAATTCTCATTTAAAATTGATTATTCTCAATTATGAAGGACGCTTTCGTATTCTCATTTGACGCTTTCTCATTTACAACTCATTATTCTTATTTAAAAATGCCACTCTCGCATTTACACTGATACTTCCCCATATTCCCATATCCCTAATCTCATTTACAATTGACTATTCTTACTTTCAATTGACGCTTGCTCATTAAGAGCCAAATTCACAGTGTGTTGTTTTATAAAAGTCTGTACTGAAAATCTGTAGTTAACTGCCCATTCTGAGTTAACTACGCACTGTGAGTTTGGCCCAATCTATAACTGTTGTTCAAGGATTTATATTATAAAAGTCCTTCATAATAATTATCAGGGAGATACCTATTTTTGGGTCTTCAAAGACTTTTATTTTGAGACTTATATAATAAAAGTCGTTTCATAATAATTATGAGTACGAACAAATTTTTTAAGTCTTAAAGGACGGGGCTTGTTCAGAACCATTTCCGAATTAGTTGAAGACCAGTCCGGGGCTAGTGGGGACAAGTTCGGGACAATATATATAAAATA